GTAAAAACTGTTGCTGCTGACGAGATTTTAATATGATTCAATGTGTCTGCACCACAAGTAACGCCATGACGTAGATGTTCAAAAGCAATGCCTTCAACTGTGTTTGCTTGTATATTTTTTTCTTACTTAGAATATAACAAATCTCCTAAAGTTAAAACAGCAGCGAAGATGCGAACGACCTTCTTTTTATATATTTAGATGAACGCAGCGATTTGTTATGTGTATTGTGTCTTTTTTGTTAATAGAAACTGAATGCGGCACACTTGTGGCACCAGAACACGCATCAATCGAAGTGAAGGTGGAGAATGAACTCCATGTGGCCTATTTTTCTTGCGAGGAAGGTTATTCTATAAGTGGTGCGACAAAGCGTCAATGTCTTTTTGAAGTATGGTCGGGTCTTGACACGGAGTGCTACGGTAAGCAATACAGTCTTTACCTCCCCCACTCCACTTGCTATTATCTGTCAAATTCATGATGAATAATATATACAGTTACATGTATTCAAGAAGTAATGTTTTAATATGTAATTCGGCAACAGATATACTAGTAATAGAGCAGTATTATTAATTCGATTAGTGACAACACGTTTACTCTTCAAGTACGTATATGTAAATCTGGAACGCATCCGTAAGATCGTTTTGCATTGAGTGAATACTGTTGTGATTGTTACCAAAATAACGACAAAATGTAACAAAATGAGTAAAAAACGCTAAAACTGTCAAAGTTATCCACAATGCTTCTTTCGCAAATTTATAAGGAAAAGAATTTGTTGCAATGTTTGACTTGCTAACATTGTCCTTGAAACGTTGACCCGATTATTCAAAATATGACGTAACATTTTGAACGACAAAGTTTTTTTGATGGGCAAATAAATAAATAAATAAATAAATAAATAAATAAATAAATAAATAAATAAATAAATAAATAAATAAATAAATAAATAAATAAATAAATAAATAAATAAATAAATCCACTCGAGATTCTGCATTATAATGTATTGTGATCGTAGCATATACAACAACAAACAAAATCAAATGATTTCTAAATTATCTGACTGAACTTATATTTGTATTTTTTGCAGTGGGCATCGATCCAGATGCAGAAATCTCTCTCATCATTGGTGTTTCCTGTGCTGTTGGTGTGTTGATTATTATCGTAATATCCTTTCTGGTTTACAGAAAGATAAATACGAACACAGACTTGGATACAAAGTGAGTAGTTTGTATATAAAAGTATATTTCATTCAGTGCAATAGCCTTAGGTATATGGTACAACAATTAACAAAGTTTATTCATCGTGGAAATAAACAGGTAGGTATTTCTCTCTGAAATCGGGATATTGTTGAAATACGAGGCAAATATGAAATTTATCCTCGACTATTCAATAACAAAGTTTACATATTCTCATGTTCTTCGGTGGTTAAGATTTCCGATCCAATTTATCAACCCGAATGTTGTGTGATGATGATCTCAACTGATATAGTATAGCCCTTTTCTTGTGTTATAGTTCAATATCGAAATACCGATATTTCGGTTGAGAATATGGCATTGAAATACACTTACTTCATCAAATATGAACATCACCACTAGTATCAACATTTTCAATTTATGTTCTTGGCCTATCTATAACCAATGATGACATTGCCTGACGGTGCATTGTATTCTATTTAATCGTGGCTAGCATAAATGAAACCAGGGTTTTGCCTAATCACAATAATGTATTCTTTAGATTATAAAGATGTATAATAATAAGGTTATGACGAGGATACCTCGAAGTATGCACTCAGACAGTAAGCCGTCGCATCCGCCTCAGGTGCGCGTCGGTCGATACTGCCGCTGTACTGTCTTCGTGCATGCTTTGAAGTATCCTCGTAATAACCTTTATATTATACATCTTTTTCTTCCAAGGATACATCATGGGAATGCCGAAATCTAAAATGTTTAGAACACAGTACAGTCAAACCTTGGTGGCAGTCATGTTTGTTTTTATTATTAGAGGACGCTTACGCGCGTAATCATTCCGTATTTGGAATATGGTAGGATGAAAATACGTCGTAAAATACCGCAAAATTACGCCACGCTGTAACTTATGGCGTTACTATGACAGATGTGTAATAATTTATATTATTACACGAATTGCTACGAAAGAGACTGGGAACATGGCGCATTTGATGATAGGCTACCCGTAAATAATCTACTGATCTTTCTATCTAACTTTCAGATCGCAGTCTGTAACGATGACACCTAACGTAACGTATGAAAACAGTACTGTGACCATCGAAGACCAGCCTACAAACAGGGATCGGAAATCCGACCAACCAGATGTGACTGAACCCGAGCCATCACCAGAAATCATAATATGAATAATTATGTAAATGTAACAAAATTTCAAATTAAATGTGAAGGATCGAATTATAAGCCTTTGTCTTTTTGTGGTTGGCCTACATGTTATTATCCATATTACCCAAAATTCAATGCACGTAACTATTTAGTCATTTCTGCTACCGCCATATTGTTTCGAACACCAACACAGCAACATTTTTTGTGCTGACTGGTTTGGTATTCGAGTCTCGAGACAGCTACGTGATTAGAACCGTTTTACAACGACACGTACAAGAAGCTGATGGCGAATAATTTGATCCGAGTTTTGAGGGAATTTTGGAAAGATTAAAAACAAATAAGATCAATCCAAAAGACCACGTTATTTCAAGACACAATAATCAGAAAGATTTGTTTGTATAGTTATAAAATCGTTCCAGTTCATTTCGTGATAGTTTTGGAAATCATGGGACACTATTGAAGTAAAGAGAAGATTGAAAATCGGGTATAAAATCTAACCTGTGGAAAAGTGTCGGGTATTTGTAAAATTGACCGACATAATTAAAGGGCGGTGGTTGTCGCGCCACATATGCGCGAGATATGGGACTAATATGAACAAAAATGACTACTTTCTGAAGAGTACAAACTGAGACGTTACCAAGCTTTAATTAGATATTTTTTTAGGTGATTGGTTCAAACGTGGGAAAATCAATATTTATCAACACAAATGTCGCACATACGCGGCGCGACGACCGTCGTTCTTTAAGTCAGAATGTCCAAAATATAAGTTGTTAAAATCTCACAATTTTTCTAAAGCTTGTGTTTGGGGAATGAATGGTATGCACCCTTGGATACAAAAGAAAACTACATGCGCATTACTATAGCATCCCTAATTTTTAACAATAATGTACAATGAATTACAACCATTGGCCGAGAAGAGGTGCGTCTGCACGGGTTCGATTTACAAATTCGTTCTTTAAAAAGAGCCGTTCCTGTTCACGTCCAGCTTACAACGCATTCGGGTCACATGGGAGTTAACAATATTTCTAAACTAAAGAATGAAATATTTCTTATACATTAATTAATTAGATATGTTATATACATATGTATGATTATATTAGAATAGATTGATCGATGAATATATATATATACATATAAATGGCGTCCCACAACACAACACAACACTTGACATTTTCGGAATGTCACGG